GAACATGTGCCCTATCAAAGCACCTGTTCCCACCATTCTTTCTCCCACTTCATCATTCAACCATTCCCGGAAAAAAAAGAACAAGGTCTGACAGAACCCTGAGAGCCCTGAGCCCTCACAGAGTTGACTCTCACCATAAATATCATGTTGCCCCGATGAATCAGTGAGACAACGCAAACCCAATGTTGTCTCCCAAAACAAAGAATCCCACATTCACACAAGCTCTTTTTTGCTCCCTCGTTGTTTGAAAGAGATGGAATCACCTGACTCCTGCTGAGCTTGCAGCAGTCACACAAAGGCTCGCCTTTCCAAAAGATAATGTCAGCCATGGTCCTTGAAAGATTGCAATCCATCTTAAGACTATGGCCAAGCTCGTGCAGGGGAGCGGGGCCGGCTCCGCTTGTAGTATTCACACCAGCGATACTAGTCCTACTGATACTGGTATTACTACAACTACTACAAATACAACAGCAACAACAACAACTACTACTACTACCACCACCACTACTACTACTACTTCTACTTCTACTTACTACTACTACTTACTACTACTACTACTACCACCACCACCACCACCACTACTACTACTACTAGACCTACTGGTACTAGTATTACTACAACTACTACAAATACAACAACAACAACAACTACTACTACTACTACTCCTACTCCTACTCCTACTCCTACTACTACTACTACTACTACTACTACTAACTACTAACTACTACTACTACTACTACTACTACTACTACTACTACTACTCCTACCGCTCCTACTACTACCACTTCCACTACTACTACTACTACTACTACTACTACTAATACTAATACTACTACTATTACTACTACTACTACCACCACTGCTACTACTACTGCTACTACTACTACCACTACGACTACTACTACTACAACCACAACTACTACTGCTACTACTACTACTACTGCTACTGCTACTACTACTACGACTACGCTTGCAGCGCCTTCTACAGAGGGTGCCCAGCTCACTGAGCGAGCGGTGCTCGCTCGCGCAGGGGAGCGGGGCCCGCTCCGCTTGTAGTATTCGCACCAGCACGCCTAGTCCTGCTAGTTCTACTACTGCAACACTAACACTACTACTACTACTACTACTACTACTACCACCGCAACCACAACAACAACAACAACAACTACTACTACTACTACTACCACTACTCACTACTACTACTACTACTACTACCACTACTCCTACTCCTACTACTACTACTACTACTACTACTACTGCTACTGCGACTGCTACTGCTAATGCTAAATGCTACTACTACTACTACTACTACTACTACTACTACTACTGCTGCGGCTACTACGACTACCACTACGACTACCACTACCACTACTACTACTACTACTACTACTACTACTACTACGACCACTACTACTACGACTACGCTTGCAGCGCCTTCTACAGAGCGGGCCCCGCTCACTGAGCGAGCGGGGCTGCGTAGGGAGCGGGGCCCGCTCTTCAGGGGAGCGGGGCCCGCTCGCGCAGGGAGCGGGGCCCGCTCCGCTTGTGGTATTCGCACCAGCACCACTAGTCCTACTGATTCTACTACAACAACTACTACTAGTACACCACCAACAACAACAACTACTACTACTACTACTACAACTACTACTACTACCACGACTACTAGTACTAGTACTAGTACTAGTACTAGTAGTAGTACTACTACTACTACCACTACCACTACCACTACTAGCACTACTAGCACTACTAGGACTACTAGTACTGCTACTACTACTACTACTACTACTACTACTACTACTAGCACTACTAGTACTACTACTACTACCACTACCACTGCCACTACCACTACCACTACACTACTACTACTACTACTACTACTACTACTACGACTACGACTACGACTACGACTACGACTACGACTACGAATACTACTACGACGACGACGACGACTACTACTACTACCACAACCACTACTACTACTTCTACTACTACCACTTCTGCTACTACTACTACTACTACTACTACCACTTCCGCTGCTTCTACTACTACTAGTACTACTAGTACGACTACTACTACTACTACTACTACTACTACTGCTACCACGACTACTACTACTACTACCACTACTACTACTACTACTACTACTACTACTACCTCTACCACTACTACTACAACCACCACTAGTACTACGACTACCACTTCTGCTGCTACTACTACTACTAGTACTAGTACTAGTAACTAGTAACTACTACTACTACTACTACTACTACTACTACAACCACTACTACTACCATCACCACTACTACTACTACTACTACTACTACTACTACTACTACGACTACGACTACGACTACCACTACCACTACGACTACTACTACTACTACTACTACTACTACTACTACCGCTACTACTACTACCACTACCACTACCACTACCACTACCACTACTACGACTACGCTTGCAGCGCCTTCTACGGAGCAGGCCTGCTCCCTGAGCGAGCGGGGCCCGCTCCGCAGGGGAGCGGGGCCCGCTCTTCAGGGGAGCGGGGCCCGCTCTGGCGCAGGGGAGCGCCCGCTCCGCTTGTAGTATTCGCCCCAGCACCACTATAGTCCTACTATTCTACTACTACAAGTACTACTAGCACACCCACAACAACAACAACAACAACAACAACAACTACTACTACTACTACTACTACTACTACTACTTATTACTACTACTACTACTACTACTACGACTACTACGACTACTACTACTACCACTACTACTACTACTACTACTACCACTACCACTACCACTACCACTACCACTACCACTACCACTACCACTACCACTACCACTACCACTACCACCACACTACCACTACCACTACCACTACCACTACTACTACTTCTACTACTACTACTACTACTACGACAGCGCTTGCAGCGCCTTCTACGGAGCGGGCCCCGCTCACTGAGCCCAAGCTCACACACGCACGCAGCAGCAGCACACAGCAGCGGCACCAGCGCCCAAGCTCCCACGCGCACACAACAGTCGCACACAGCAGCGGCACCAGCACCCAAGCTCCCACACGCACGCATCCCACGCGCACACAACAGTCGCACACAGCAGCGGCACCAGCACCCAAGCTCCCACGCGCACACAGCAGCACCACACAGCACCGGCACCAGCACCCAAGCTCCCACGCGCACACAGCAGCGGCACCAGCGCCCAAGCTCCAAGGCGCACACAACAGTCGCACACAGCAGCAGCACCAGCGCCCAAGCTCCCACACGTACACATCCCACGCGCACACAACAGTCGCACACAGCAGCGGCACCAGCACCCAAGCTCCCACGCGCACACAGCAGCGGCACCAGCGCCCAAGCTCCAACGCGCACACAACAGTCGCACACAGCAGCAGCACCAGCGCCCAAGCTCCCACACGTACACATCCCACGCGCACACAACAGTCGCACACAGCAGCGGCACCAGCACCCAAGCTCCCACGCGCACACAGCAGTGGCACCCTACAGCACCCAGGCTCGAAAGCGCACACATGTATCTCTTCCTATACTTGAAGTAAGAACCCCAATAGCTCACGCTATCTGGGGAATAAGACACATGCAGACTATGATTCTGATCACACATGCTCGGTCTTGTGTGACACTATCATTGATTGAAAACAAGTTTTTTCCTGCCTGGAAATGGGCCAAACGCCTCATCCTCTACATAGCCCAAGCGCTGTGCAAGATTCTGTGTGCGCGAACCTGATGGCCTGTGCGGCTATTGATGGAGCATGGTTCTCAGGGTGTTCCAAGCCATTCTCAAAATGATGTGGACACTCTGCACACCTGGTGGGGTCGTCTGGGTCAAAGGGTGGCCAGTTCACCAAAAAGCCAAAGGTAATCGCAGACTGCATGGGGCACCGCAATATGAACAAGCCTTGCTAACTGACTAGACAACTAGCTGATACCCTTGAGCCTTTGTTGTCTCTAGACCCAACTGCACCAATACTTACAAAGGGCAATTGTTCAAACGAGTCTAGCGGAATAAAAATTTAAATCATTCTCAATCCGTCCGAGTTCTGCGTCATCGTCGGAGTATCGTTTTGCAATGATGCTTGTTGAGTACTGTTGTGCTGTCTGTCTGGTGATGTTTTGCCTGTTTCTGAGCAACATCTAGCTCAGACTTGTTGTTTGATCCAGCAGCTGCAAGGCCATCACACGGAGAAGGATCTGTGCTGTTCGAAAAGGTCGTCACCTTGCACTCCCCCCTGTCGCAGAAAAGCAACTCAAAAGTTAAGCTGAAATGATGACTGGTTCAAAAAGAGCTCTGCAAGGAACCGCACACGACTTCCCAATTCCCAATGATGCTCCTTTGCCCAAAGTGCAATTGAGAGGTGGTGGCTGAGGTGAAATTTGGAACGGGAAATGCGAGAGGAGAGGAGCTGGTGTGCTAAAGGCAAAAAAGAAACAACAAAGAACAACCAAGAAGAAGGGGGAAAACAAACAAAGCAGCTACTTGTGCAGTTCATGTGCATTGTGCATCCTTCACGTAATGCATCACCCCCACGTGGGAGACGGCTGTTGGCAAAAGCATTGTGCGCGTGAAACGGCTCCATCGCATTTGCACATGCTTAGGAACTAAAATCATGTCAACAAGTTTGAGCATGTTTCAGAACCGCAGACGGAAGACCTCCTATATACAGGCGCATCAAAGCTTGAGTTCAACATGCATGTATGCGAGGGCTGCTTCAAGCGAGGAGAGGTTGCATGCAGACTGGGTGCAAGCCTGCTGATGCCATATTGCCCTAGCCAATGAAGAGAGTCACTGGCTTCTTTTAACTAAAGTACTCTCGCAGAATATGTGCTTAGATATGTGCTTCAAGGGCATAGCAGTACCTCGATTCGATCCGCAAGTATATCTTCTCAAGCAAAACATGACCATGCTGGCACACACGGCCCCTGAGCTTGGCTGGCAAACTGCTGACCTCACTGCAAACTCGGTGCTGCCTGGCATATCCTTGGCCATTTGGTTGAGAAGCTTCGCAGCCTGGAAATGAAGTGCAAAGTCTTTTGACAGGAGGCACGGCATGAATACCAAGGAAAGTAGCACAAATCATGAGGAAACTTCGAAATGCGTACACTTACATAGCATAATGTGTACAATCTACATCTGTAATTGGTGACTAGATACACAATACAGTACAATATGTTGTGGGTAGTGAAGGCCCTGGTCAGGGCTTCTTCACAGACCCGCAAAGGAGCCAATTCCCAGCCACCAAGTTCCCGCTGATAGGTTGCATGAGGCTCAATTAGGTAGAGATACAAAATCCAACCTGTGTGTTCAGAACAATGCACTCGTTAGGTCCTTGTTATTGACAGGACAATCTAAACGGACAAGAGCGCAAGCAAATTAAGAAATGCATCGTTTGTTGCTTGCAACTCGCGTAACAAAAAGTGGGAACAGGAGTAAGGAAAGTACGTTCACTGGTAACCTCCTGTGCCTCGGTATGGCGGCTGGCTTTCCGGTACAGCTGAACTGCCTGAGCATCTTCTAGCGCATCAAATTTTGCTGGCACGTATGCGCAATGATCAGCCGTCGAACAAGAAAGGTTGAAATCACACCTCCAAGAAACCATGAGAATCCTAAAACGGATAGCCCATTGAACATGTCTGTTTGCTGGCAGTCTTCACCTTCTTGGAGACTCTTGCGGATCACTACTTGGATGAATGAAAAGCCTAAGTGGCTTGAGACTGATCGTCCAAAAACCAGCTTTATGCCTTGAGTTATCTCCCTTCTACAGTCTGGACCTCAATCTTCTTGTTCTTGTCAAGAAGGTGTTGTGCGTACTTAGCCAGCAAGCCTGTCAGGGTGCAATGCCATGCTAGTTAAAGCAATTGATACTTGGTGCCCTTTCCTTTGCCTGATCTCTGTAGACCTACATGAACTCAAATCTACTTATATAAGCCGTCTGAGAACCTGTTGGCACCAGAGACCTCAAAATCTGCAAAGCTAAAGTTCTACCTATAACGTTCAAGCTAACGTTCAAGTCTATATACACTCTTTTCTTAGGGACAAAAAACACAAAGCAATTCTTTCACGCTCGCAATCCATCCCTTCGATCAAAAAGCGAGTCAGTTTAGATCATTCCTTTGTTTGTCCCCGAGGCAGTTGCGGGTGGTCGAAAGTAGTGTTCGTTGTTGAGCAGTATACAGTAGATATATATATATAATTGATTGACTGATTGATACTTGTCGAAATGCAACAGTATCGACCACGCAATAGACTTGCTTTGTGTGCCAAACACAGGGACACAAGAGTAGAGTAGGTGAGAGCAAAAGCAAACATTAAGAGTATAAATTATGGAGACAATGCAAACGAGCGGGGAACTCTTTGCTAATGGAAAGAGCAAGCTGTTTCCAGGAATCAAACTGTAGAACCTATAGAAAAAAGAAGGTCGAAGTAAGCTAGAAGAAACAAGCAGGGAAGGTGCTAGCGGCTAGCGACTACAAGTGCACCAAAGTTCCAATCAAAGACGGCCGAAGCATCAATGCCATTGGGGAGTTGAAGGATGAAGGGATGGGTGAGCAAGGAAAGGAAAGAATGTCAGGCTGATGAAATGAGTCATGGGTCGTGGAAGGGGATTGCGTGAGAACTGTTGGAAGCAGCCACAGGATGATTGATAGGACAAGTATGCTGCCAGGTGTTGTCTCATCTCGACTTTAATTCCTCATGGCCCAGCAGAAACCCTACCTTCAATCTGCTGAAAGTTGTGCTGTTGCGCCAGGTTTACGGCCAGCTCCCACTGGTTCAGAAGAACACACCTTGGAAATGCGCGATGTCCAAAGAGAGGAAAAAGGCTACACGGCACGGGCATTAAACTTCAACTGTTGGAACTAAACTGTTGGCAACTCGAGATCGATTGTCAAAGTTTGTAGGTTCAAACAATTGTTACAGTACTGCCATCGCACTTTACTTCTCGTTCTGCACTGTTTGTCATTGTACTTCAAACTTGTGCCCCAAGCGTGTCGACGGCCGTCTTCACATCTCCATGTCTGAGGAAAGCTTGGACCGCCTTTACACAGAACAAACACAGCACCCTTTTTCACTTTGGAAGAATGTCACTGCACAAAGAGCAAAAATCCCACCGTCCCTCAATCTGCCCGCAAACATATGAAGCACATTGTGTAGCACATGCATCTAGCGTCCGTACGCCTGCTCACAAAGCCCGACAGAGGCGAACTTGTTGCCAACCTCTGTCAAAAGTGGGCTACCTGCCGTAAGAAGCGACAAATGGCCAAGGATGGAAATGTGTGCACTGGCACTCGTTGCACAACCCAAAAGGTAGGTCATGTGGACAACCTTTCATGATTTGTCTTTTTAATCCTCGTCTCTTGGCCTTCTGGAAGTGATGGGATCAACCGTTCGAGCGCATCGTAGTCCTGGAACAACCCAAGTCTACAGGTTTGAAGCTAAGCAGCTAAGCTTCAAGAGCAACTCCATGTGGTTGACTTATGCGTACAACAACCGTGTGTGCATGTGCGACTCCCTAGAAAGCTTCTTCCATATGGTTGTGTCGTTTGGTCCGATGAGGAGCAGTTGAAAATGAGTCCAGGAGCCTCAAGAAAGTAGTAGGTGTCCACCAAAGCCGCACTATTGCCAGCCTTCAATTCACAACTGTCCCACGAAGGCCCACCAAGATCTCCCACGACAGAAACTCAAGGAAATGTATCGATTAGTTGCTGAACGCTGAACTGAAGGGCAAGAGAACGACGCCAGCATTGTGAAATGTCTGGCCAAGTCCTACTTACGCCATTCGTATAGATGTGGTGTCTTTGTGATCAATAGCTCTCTGACTCTTTGCACACGCACTTCCAATACGGACCTTCGCATAATAATTTGCGGCGTTGTGCCACCTGGACATGTGTAGCTTCTGAGAACAACCTGCTGCCCTTGCCACTCCGTATACCACAATAAGGAACCTATGGCTTAGCATCTTCTATCAGGTCTTTAACCAATCAAGAGTCTGTCTAAGTCGGCTCAAAGAACTCTCCTTCGTCAATTGAATATCTTCCTGACTCGCTCATTCCTGGAACATCGGCTCCAACAGCCCGCACTTGCAGCGATCTGCGTAGTAGTCGCCAATGGCGCTCCAGGCTTGATGTAACAAATCCTCTCGCTGCAATGCTCGCATTTTTTCAAACAAAAACAAACACACTAAACACACGCAGTCTAGATTGAACTTGAAATATCTGAGCATGTTCATAATCTTGATCATCATGCTGAGTTGCCCTTCAACATCCATTAACCTTGTTTCGTGACTTTTCGGAGCCGAGTCGAGGCCTCATTCGCACCGTGCGCAAGCTGGATGACCCGGAACCAATCGCCCAAGCGTACTCGCAGGTCAATGGCCAGGTCCTCACCAGGCAAAGCCAAAAACGCTGATTCTGAGCAACTATGTATATGAGGCGGAGGAGGAGGAGGAAGGAGCTAAGGAGAAAATGCTGATGGTCACAGGGCGTCTGATTTTAGGTTGTTGACCACTGATTGTTGCGGCGTTGAGCGAGTATGACTATCGTATCAAAACCCTAAATGGCTTTCTACTGTGACTTTCGGATTCTGCCGGAGTCTTAAATTAAGCTTAGACGAAGGGTAAACAAAAGACCTTAAAGAGAGTATATGGTGGTTGATCAATATTCTTTCATGATGGAATGGAAATTTTTCACGAAAAGCAAAATTGTGGATCTTTCGCGGCCTCATCGCGGCCTCATCGCGAAGCATGGTCCTAAAACCACGTCTAGTTAACATGAGCTGGAACTATTATACGTTGGTATCACAAAATAGGGACTGACATCTTGCAGCATGACCCCAGCACAAGGTTGAGCATCTAGATCAAAAGAAAACATGAGCATGCTTAAAAAATACGAACATTATGATCAATAAAAAATTATCCTGAGTAGGTCCCCTGGTCCATTGTTCCCCCCTGGTCCGTCCATTGGTCCCCTAGCATTTTGGTCCCCGTGGTCCTTTGGTCCCCGTGGTCCTTTGGTCCCCTGGTCCTTTGGTCCCCTTGGTCCTTGTCCTGGTCCGCTGGCCTTGTCCACTGGTCAATATTGGACAAAAACACGAGGTTTGCGAGAAAACAAAGCGCTGCCCGGTTGCCTTGGTCCTTGCATCACTTCCTGAGTGCCCTTCACTGATGAGGCAACGGGGTGTGTAGTCAGTGCCTTTTGAGTCTGATGGTTTTTGATGTTTGGTTCGCTCTGGGGGAGGTTCCTCCAGTGCCACGAAATCTGCACTACTTTTGCCAATGCACTGGGTCTACCACAACAGATTTTCTAAACGTCACCCAGACACCCATCGCTCACACAAAATATTGCACGCACTCACCTAAGTCTTGTTGCTTCTGTGTTGTGTATTTTCAGGCTCAACCACTAAAATACAGTCAAATTCCGCTAAGCTGCAACTGCTAGCGCTCCTTTTTGTCGCGATGAGCTGCGTGCTTGAGCCAAGAATTGGCATGGTGCGTAAAAGCTTAGCTTTAGGTGATGTATTTCAACACCCCCCTCTGCTTTCGCAAGCGACGCGCGAATTAGCAGCTATGATCGGGCTAAGCCGTGATGCCAGCGTGAATCTTCCTTTAAAGATCACTCTATGGCACACGCTTTGAATGCATGCATGCAGCTCGAATTTAGTAGGATCGCCAGTTCCCAGTTGACCACCGTCCATAGTAGTCACGCGTCCACCACTGCCCTTGATAGAAGGTGTAGTACCCCCAGCGATCGCCATCTCGATACTCTCGGGCAGCAGCGCGAGCTGTGCGGAGAGCTCCCTCTCTTGCATCTCTCACAGGCACGGACTTCGATGTTGTGGTGGATGCTGGTGAAGGGATCGGTGGCGTCTTTGGTGCAGGTGGGTGCTGCAAGGTAGTTGGTGGACTTGGTGGGAATTTTGCCGTAGGCATCTGGCGAATGTCGATCTGGCCAATCGCATTGTAGCCAGCACTAGGTGAACTTTCACCTTCCGGTTCAGCTGATGGAGTAGCCCTCTGGCTAGGTGCAGCCTTTGGCGGTGTCTTTGGGGCAACAGCGTGAGCATTGCGTACAGAGGCAGCGACATGTGCTCTGCTGGCCTTCCCACGGCCCTTGGCTGCATTCCTTTCAGCTGCTCGTTCACTTTGATGACGCTTGTTTTGCACAAGCTGTTGAGCGACTGGCAATGAGCTGTCAATGGTTTCGTGAAGCTCTCTCATGGATGGTGTCTCAACGATCTCCATGACGCAGGTAAAGGTCAGCAAATTGGTGCCTTTGCCACGGGTCTTGCGGTGATCGCAGAGGTCCTGGAATTCCTTGAGCGAATAGAGCTCACGCTGCCAGATGATCACCCAATGAGAGTGTTCGAAGCGTTCCAAGAGACCTGGGTCGCTGCTCGTGATGTCCGCAATGTCTTCATCCACATACATCAGTTTTGCGAAATCCAGTTCGTTTGCGGTCCGCATACCCACTCCAAGATCAACTTGAGCACGGGTGCGTGGAGGCATAGGAAGATGACCATGTGCCACTATGTCTCGCAGTTGAATGTCGAGCAATGTGACGTTGTGCTCGGTCATCCGCTCCACAAACTGCACGTCGTTTTCGTAGCGGTCAGCCATGGATGTATATCCTAGGCCGATGGCTCTCTTCAACTGCTGCCTTGCAGTTCCGACGTAGTCGCCTTCAGGGCTGCGATTGCCTCGGGCAGATTCCTCGCGGAACTGCTTGCTCTGGCTGCCGATTCTCTCGATGGTGTCAGCATCAAGATACTTGTAGCCGAGCTTGTTGAGCAGCTCCCTTCTCTTCGCGAGGATGCCACGCTTCACCTCGGACGTGCCCGTGATGTTCGTATTGCATGCAGGGCACACAATCGTGCCACTGACGAGGTTTGCACCACATCCTGGGCACATGACTTCCTCAGTGGGGATGTTTTCTCGCTGAGCTTCCTGAGGCGGTTCTGGGACAATGACCTCCACGTCTTCCTCGGCTTCTGGCTCTTCACCTTCCGGGCGCTCCCTCTTTTGGGTTGGTACTGGTTCCATCACGACGTCAGCGCTTCCTGCTGAACTTGCCGCTGGCGCAGTCGAGGGCACTCCCTCGCGGGAGGCTTGCTGCGCTTTGGGAACGGCTCTCGTCGCATTGGACCTTGACCAGAGGATAATGTCCTTCTCGGTATCCCGAATGTGGACAATATATGCGCTCGAAATGTTGTAGGGCGACAGCACGGCACCGGATTTGGTGGTAAAGCAGATCAGGCCGTCGGCTACTGCTTCACGCAGAGCAATCACCACCTCAATCGGGTTCAACCTTCTGTTCCCTGGCACCACTTCATTCTGGCGGATCTGACTCCGTGCCAGATATATGTGGGCTCTGCCGGAATTGCGCCGGGCTCCACCGCCAACAAGTAGGCCGTCTTGTTGTATTCCTTTGATTGCGGCATGAAACGTGCGGTGGTAGGCCATTGCGGGAACGTCTTCAATGCTTTCCATCACCGGCACACCAGTGCCACAGAAGCTGGAAAGGTCTCTTCCGGCATCCTGGTGCCTGACGTAGATAACGTCTGCATTGAAGAAGAGGTCACTCTCCGATCGGATGAACTGATTGTTGTGACCTGATGCCGTGCGGATCTTCAGCGGCCAATAGGTCTGATTGATCGCTGTCGCTCGATGATAGCCAGCAATGGCAAGGTACTCAAAGCGGTCCTTGTTATCGAGCTTCCCCATATGCATGAGATCTGTTACCTTCATCTTGGCCTCGGGCAGCTCTGCAAAGAGTGCGCTAACGAACTGGTTCAGATCGAGAAATCGATCCTCATCGTGCTGAGTGTCCCAGTCGTTGGTGGTAATATTCCCACGCAGAATGCCGGAGGCTCTGGTCAGGTGGCTTTTGAGCCATTGTGGTAGGCGATACCATCGGGGAGGTGGTTCGAAGCTCCATCCACTTATGAGTATGAGTTCATAAGGGTGGCCGTCGACGATCACACCAGGCACGACCTTGCCGTGAACGTCCTCCACCTCGGTGTACCGATAATCGGCCTGACCTGACAGGTGGTGGTTGACGATGTACGTCTCCTCGAACTGGCTGTCGAGGAGCATCGTCTCCCACTCTTCCTTCGTGATGCGCCCTGCACGAAGGCTCTCCTTCTTAGGAGCGGATGAAGCCGAGGGCATTGCCTTTGCCTTTGGGCTAGCCGGTGATGGCTGCACAGAGTGCGCAGCTTCGGCTTCTGGCGCGGGCTCCTCTTCATCATCACTTTCCTCCTTCACTGCAGTGCGGGCGATCATCACAGGTGGAGCGTCATCGTCATTCATCGGATCATCTGTCTTGGTGGCCACAGCAATAGGGAGCTCCATGATCTCATCCTCTTCCAAATACTCGTCGAGATCGGGTTGCTCACGGCGGACCTCTTCGACGGTCAATGGTCTTGAGGCTGCTTCAATGCGCTTCCTATTTTCCTCTCGTCGGTGGATCACATCGATGACAGCTTGTCTGTACTCCTCACTGGCCGGCGTGAACGGGCTTAGACTCGCGTCTAGCACACGTAGGTCTCTCTTCCCGTTCCGCTGATTGGCCTCGTTCATCCCATTGAGGTGGGGCGAGAGAATGGCTGATAGATGGAGGATGTAAAAGTTGGCATTAAACCAGCTTAGGACCCGTGACTGATTTTTGTCACAAAACGTCATGTGAAACTGATCCTTCAACTCCATCTGCCACAAAAGCGGATCCAGATCGATGATCACGACGTCCGGTTCCGCAAAGGTCTCTCTGAACCAGCGCTTGATGTCCCTGCCGAAGTGCGTGTAAATGCTATGCAGCTCGTAGATGCTTGCATTTGGGATACACGACACGGCTAGGACATTGCATCCAGCTTTTCGACCCTGCTCGACGTACCAAGTCAAGTGCCTCTTGGTGTCGGCTTCAATTTTGAGTGGGTCGCCCTTTGCCTCAGTATAGGGATATCTGTTGGTAGACACGATCCCGTTCTCGCCCACAAGCTCGTTGCCGGCCCACACCACGTTCACATAGATTCGGGCATCGGGCACATCCTTGCGGATGGCTCTTGCGCAAATAATCGCGCGTTTGATGAGCGTCCGCAGCTCGGCACCCCAATGCATTTCGTGGTGAAATTGTAGCACATGCCGGCATCGATTGTCATGAAAGGCTCGCTCCAAATCATGGCGTTGGCGGGTCTTCTTTCCGCCTGATACCATGGCCAGTGTACTGTCGCTGATCAGCACTTGGTACACTGGGCCTGTCACTGCTGACGGCGGGCGATGATAGGCTAGGCTGCTTCGCTTGGCCTCAATGAATGGGTTCAGAATGTGTTGAACACACTCATAGCTCTCACGCCACGCGATTGCGCCGTGTGGTCGTGAGCCAAACCAA